TTTGAATCATCCTGTGTCGGTACCCCACAACAGAATGGGCGTGTGGAACGTAAGCATCGCCACATCCTTAACGTAGGTCGAGCTTTACGATTCCAAGCGAATCTACCCATTCGGTTTTGGGGAGATTGCATCTTGACAGCCGGGTATCTAATCAATCGAACCCCATCTCCACTACTCCATAATAAAACACCTTATGAAACCTTATTTGGTCAGCCTCCCAATTATTCCCATATTCGCACCTTTGGGTGCCTCGCATATGCACACAATCAAAATCATCGTGGTGATAAATTTGCAAGTCGTTCACGCAAATGTGTCTTCCTTGGATATCCTTTTGGTCAGAAAGGTTGGCGTCTCCTCGACTTAGAAACGAATAAAATTTTGGTGAGTCGGGACGTCAAATTCTTTGAACAATCTTTTCCATTCTCCACCCCTGAACCACCTTCACAGCAGAATGACACTATGACCGAATCCCTTGAGGATTTAGAAGACGACGAAATCACGTCACTACCCATCTGCTCTACCCCAGCGTCCCGTCCATCCTCTGGTAGCCCCACTGGCACCAGTGAGAAACACAAACTGGACGACGATGACACCACCAGTAGCGAAGCCAGCCAACCCGGTAACCCCACTGGTGCCGGCGTGTCTCCTTTCGACAATGTTTCTACCGATATAACCCCTGCCGGCAGCCCCACTGGTTCCGGTATCCCTCCTGATTGCTTGCGCCGGGGAACTCGTGAACGGCAACCTTCAACACGGTTACGAGACTTTGTTGTTCACACCATTCAACATCCTCAAGCTGCTTCACCATCCCCGGATCCACCCTCAGGTACTGCTCACTGTATTACAAAGTTTATTGCTTATGACAATTTTTCTTTGTCCCATAGATGTTTCTTGGCAGCTATAAGTGCAGAATCGGAACCCACACACTTTTCTGAGGCGGTGAAGTATCCCCACTGGCGAGAGGCAATGCGGGAGGAGCTGAGAGCTTTAGAAGATAACAAAACTTGGTCTCTTGTCCCACGTCCTCCAGGAAGAAAGACCATTGGCTCAAAGTGGGTGTTCAAGATTAAACACAAGTCTGATGGCTCGATTGAACGTTACAAAGCACGCCTAGTGGTGCTTGGAAACAAACAAAAAGAGGGAATTGATTTTAAAGAGACTTTTGCACCCACTGCGAAGTTAGTCACGGTGCGTACTTTGCTGGCCCTTGCTGCTGCCCGCCAGTGGCATTTGCATCAGATGGATGTGCATAACGCTTTTCTTCATGGAGATCTTAAGGACGAGATATATATGCAGTTGCCCCCAGGTTCGGCACCACGCTATCACGGCTTAGTGTGTCGTTTGCACAAGTCCTTATATGGGTTGCGTCAGGCACCTCGTTGTTGGTTCGCTAAGTTGACCTCTGCGCTACAAAGGTTTGGATTTCGCCAATCCAAAGCCGATTATAGTCTGTTTACCTATGCCAGGGGGGGTGTTGTGGTGCATGTTTTGATCTACGTAGATGATTTAATTATTGCTGGGACTGATGAGTCATTTATTGGGAAATTCAAGCATTACTTGTCTGAATGTTTTCATATGAAGGATTTGGGGCAATTAAAATATTTCTTAGGGTTGGAGGTGGCACGAAACTCAAAGGGAATCTTCTTATGTCAACGAAAGTATGCCTTGGATATTTTGACCGAGACTGGCATGCTTGGAGCGCGACCGGCGAGCACAC